AGGCTGTGCCCTCACAAGTCTCCAAGAACTATGGTCATACTATTTTTTGGAATTCAAAGCAAATTGACAAGGAAGGCCAGTCTACTAGGTTTTGGATGTCCTACCCACCAAAGCTCATTCTCATTTTTCCAACAAACACTCCCCTGCTGTTGGGCACATAGTTTGCACCTATTGATTCAAACATTTGTAGGCTGATATGAATGGATTACTGATAGGTTCAGGCTGAACTAGATTACACTGAGTTCCAGGTCAGCCTGGATAACATTATCTAACCCCTCTCTGTCTCTGTCTCTGTCTCTCTCTCATTTTGGAACTAGCTCTTGTAGACCAGGCTGGCCTGGACCTCACAGAAATCCTCCTGTCTTTGCCTCCCAAGTGATGGGATTAAAGACATGCGCCACCACTGCCCAGCTCTAACTGATGTTCTGAATGTCTTATCTGTATTTCATAAGTCCTTAAAACAAAAGGGTGCAATGCTATTGAAAAACATGAAAACAAGGAGGAAGCATAGATGCCACTGAGGAGAATTAATTAACTTCATGGGGGAGGGGACTATCAAATGTTCAAGACTTTCGTGGTAAATAACTAAAAATAAAAAATTTCAAACTAAACTAGCCAAGCACATTCATTTATCTCCCTTTTGAGAATAAAAATAATTCAGAAAAGATTTTTTTTTCTTGGTTTTTCTTTACAGGGTTTTTCTGTGTAGCCCTGGCTGTCCTGGAACTCACTCTGGAGATAAAGCTGACCTCAAATACACAGAGATCCACCTGCCTCCCAAGTACTGGGATAAAAGGCATGTGCCACCACTGCCTAGTGCATCAAAAAATCTTTTTAAATATCTAATTGTTGAGAGGACAAAATAAAATACAGCATTTGGCCTAGCACATGGCACATACTCAACAAACAGCCAACAAACAATGGGTATTATTGCTAACATCTCTTTTCAATCAAAATTACATGATATTTTGTAATTTCAAAGAAGTCAATATGTCATCTGTGGTTTTGCTATGTAATCAATACTGATTGAACAATTAAACTTTTCATCAGTGCAACTAATACAAAACAAGAGATCAAGGAAAGGCCTTGGGGTTTTGTTTTTGCTTTGGATTTTGTTGTTGTTGCTGTTTTTTTTGTTGTTGCTTTTTGATTGGTTGGTTTTTCGAGACAGGGTCTCTCTGCAGTTTTGGAGCCAGTCTAGCTTCGAACTCAGAGATCCAGCTGCCTCTGCCTCCTAAGTGCTGGGATTAAAGGAGTGCACCACCACTCCCCCAGCACTCACTCACTCTATCTATCTATCTATCTATCTATCTATCTATCTATCTATCTATCTATTTTGGTGGTTTTTGAGACAGAATCTCAGTAAGAAACCCTGGCTGACCCAGAACTTGCTATATATCAGACTAGCCTGGAACTCATAGAGATTCTCCTGCCTCTGCCTTCCATAGGCTGGGATTAAAGGTATGCACTATCAATGTAAAAGAAAAATTAGTACACTGTATCTAGGGTAAACATTAAAATGTAATAGTTGTTTGCTGGAGGTACTTAGATCTTCAAGAAATCATTGTAGAAAACAGTGATTGTTTTCTTTGACTTACAGAGTTGTTTATAGGTCTTTGCCCTAACTTTGGTCACAAGGCAATCCTGGCACACCAGAAACAACCTGCATTATTGGGTCCTGCAAACAGTGCACAATAAGGACTGAAGTCGCAGGGGCGTGATGTTTTCCTTTACAAAACATAGATTAGATCGGGGCTTTGGGATGAGGAAATTGCTTTACCCACAATATAACAGTCAATAAGTATGCTTCAGCATGACCGTTTGAGTTCAGTTCATCGGGACTGCTCCTCCCAGATGCTTCCAAGCCTGAATTACCCTCTTTCTTTGATTGTCCCTCTTAACTCTGAATACCCAACACCACCAAGTCAGTTTAAAGCCTTTAAACAGCATGATGGTACACGTCTATAATCCCACATTGCCATAGGCAAGAGGAGGTGAGTTTAAGACCACTGTCTCAAACACAAGTCAATTTATATTGGTGTGTTAATGCCTTATGACATCATTCCCCCTGATGGGCAAATACATATGCAATCCTTATCTAGTGTCTTCTCATAGAATGTGAGCCACAAATGTAATTTTAAAATTTCTGCCAAGAGCTAGAGAGATGACTGAACAGTTAAGTGTGTACACTGCTTACAGAGGATCCAAATTCAGTCCCTAACACCCATATCAGGGCACTAACCTAGCCTCCTCCACAGGCACTTGCATTCACTTGCACAAAACCACACATACACGTAATTTAAAAATAATAAAAATAGTCAGGCAGTAGTGGCACAAATCTTTAACCCCAGAGGAGGCAGAGGCCAGTCAACATGGTCAACAAAGTGAGTAGCCAAGGCTACACAGAGAAATCTGTCTCAAAAAAAAACAAAACAGAACAAAAAAAAATTAAAAAAAGTTTTAAAAAGTATTTGACAGTATATATAAAGACAAAATTAACTTTAATATGTATTTTACTTAATCCAGTATATACAAAGCATCCTTTAAATATGCACATAATGTAAAAATAAGATATTTAACATTTTTTTACATTATCTTCAGAATCTAGTGTGCATTTCACTTAGTCCCAAAGAATTCCATTTCAGCAATTTTCTGTGTCCACAACAAAGTCCCGACCGAGACCTTTTTCAGAAAAATCTTTGCAATGTTTTTAGCAGACATTTGCTTCTCAGATCAGTCTCTGACTAGCCAGGTAAGAATGCTGCCAGGCTTGAGTTCCTCCTGATTGCATCTGAGCAGAGACCAAAGTGGGAGAAAAATGACCTGTTGCTACAAGACACATTCTAAACTGCTTCCTTTCACCTCGCCAATTCTCAGTGAGCAGATCATCTCCAAAGGGGGGGACCAGCACAAATCACGTATCAAAAGCCGTAAGAGGGACCCATACTAGGTCATCAGGACCCGTGTGTTCACCTCACTAAAAAGGTATTATTGGCTGGTAGAGAAAGTGCCCAGTATGTGCAAGGCCCTGAGTTTCCGACCTAGTACCAATAAGTACAAATGAAGCAAGGTACTAGCAAGCACTAAATTTCCTTCCAGTTGCAACAGATTCTACACTGGGGGCTCTAAAAGACGTCCAAATCTATACAAAAATCCCAAATTAAGAAAAAAAATTCAAAGTAGCAATGGCTATGTGATCTCAAATATTAAGGTAGAATAGCCCTGTTTTCTCTAGAAACTTAACTCTCCTACCAAGATGAGCAAAGACTTCTGCAAACTCAGTCCTTTGGTCACCTCCCCAAGCTAATGCATTCTTGTTAAACTTTAACAAAGCAGGGAAGCTCAGACTACTTGGCTGCTTGATGTGAAAATAATTATTAAGCCCTTTTGTAAGGAATGGGAAACAGTGGGCTACTGTCTCAAAACCCAAAGTTTTAAAAGTAAACTCGTTATAGGAAAACACCGATATTTCTATCTTTAAAAATACAAAGTGAGCCAGGCGGTGGTGGAGCACACCTTTAATGTCAGCACTTGGAAGGCAGAGGCAGGAGAATCTTCGTGAGTTTTGAGCACAGCCTGGGCTACAGAGAGTTCCAGGACAGTCAGGGATATACAGAGAAACAGAATGAAAGAAGAGTCGTGTGATGTATTGCATTTTTCTCAACACTGAAATGAGTTGCTGGTTGCTGGTAGCTCCCTTTTTCTTCTGAAGTTCTCTAACGATTTCAGACAGGCATACAAGGCACGTCAGTCACTTCCACACACAAACCCTCTCTCATCCTCCTCAGCCCACCTCCTTCACAGCAAGTCCCCCTCCTGTTTTCACGTCCATTTTTGGTTTTGTCCCCTCTTTGAAATTTCTCATTTTCCCGACAATGAATCTATGTTAACTTCATACGAGCATAATAGTTGCAGACGGAACTCAGGGCGGGGGCGCCTACTTATAAGGTACGTGTGTTGTCCCAGATGCAGTCCTCTCGCCGCTGAAACAAGGCTGATCCGGAACTGGAGATTATTAAGACTAGATTCCATGCGAGTGACAACTTCGGACGACTCAACCTTAGAGCAAATCATTCTTCTGAAATGACACCAGTAACAGCATCTAAACTAGTATGGGCAATCGCTTAGCCATCAGTTTACAAATTCAAGCACTGAAAAAATCCTCCACATCTGTATTAACTTTCAAATTACCTTAATTTTCAATAGTCTTTTATTAAGGCCGTTAGGGCCCGAGAAACAGCAAAAGATCATGGCTTTCCATTTTCTATTTCTGCAAAGTAAACAGATTCCAGGTTTTTCCCGCCTCTCCCTAGTTTTCCCTAGAAATGGTGAATCTGAAGTCAGCGCCTGGAACGTGGTCTAGCAGTTTGAAAGACAGACATCATTCTGGGTCTCAGGCTTCTTCATCCAAGACACACTGGTCAAGCACCTACCCACGGGGAGGCCAGGGGAGGCCATAGGTCAGTGCGGGTGAGAGGCAAGCTAAAGAAATCAGGCCCAGCAAGGTGTGGCCTCTGAACCACGGTGACAAACCAGTCAACAAGGAATCCCAATGCCATAAGAGCCCACAGAAGACAAAATGCAAGCAGACACTCCAGGACAAGATTCGGACTTCGGGGAGGGCAGGGGCATTCGAAAGATGGCAAAGATCTGGAAATGGTTTCCACTAGCCAGGAATCCAGTAACTTTCCCAAAGTCTGAGTCACCTCCCCCAGTTACTCCTAGAGAAGCCCGAGGGGTGCGAGGACACCCCCGAGGCCAGCTCAGCCCTCCGCTCCCTCCCACCGTCTGCGGGGAGGCTCCGCCCCGCTCCGAGGCCGCGGGCGCCAGATCCGCGAGCACCCGCGACCGCTGAGCTCCCAGGCCCCGCGGCCTGGAAGTCGGCGCCGGGCGGAGGAGCAGAGCGGCGCGCGGGGGTCGCCTTGGGGCCTGCGAGTCGCCCGGGGCACCGTCCGCAGCCTCGGGCCACGGCTCCCTCGAGGCCCCCGCTCAAGCGTTACCTGGTCAGGCGACAGCACTGTGGGAGCCCCGGGGCTGCGCGGGCGCCGCCGCCCCACCTGGCGGAAGTGCAGCGGCTGGCCTCACCTGGGCGGAAGTGCAGCGGCCTCCTCACCTGGGCGGAAGTGCAGCGGCGGCCTCCTCACCTGGTCCGCTCTCGCTCTCAGCCGGGGCTGGGCTGGGCGGAACGGGGCGGGGCGAGCGGGGCTGCCGAGCGTGGAGAGGAGGCGTGGGGCCGTGCGGGCAGGTGCGGAGGTGCGGGGCCACCGGCGCTGGCCCGAGACCGAGACCCTAAACAAGACACCGAAGGGCGGAATCCATGCAACCTCTGGGTCAAGTCCACTTAGCCCCTAGCCCTATGTCCCTTGGTTCCTGTCTTCTTGTGGCCCTTAGGTTTTCTAGATGTGCTGACTGCACGTAAAGTTTCATAAATGTCGATCTCTGTGTCCCATCATCATAAGTGTAATTATGTGGTTTTTTTTTAAATTTAGAATTTTGACGATAAGCTTCTGCTTTATCGAATACAGCCCACTCAATGCTAAAGAGATAACCATCAAGTATCTTACTGAATAAATGAACTATTAAGCATTGTGATTGACGGGATGCTAGATAAAAGGCTATCCTCGAAAGATGAATACATATAAACAACTACGACATGAGGACGTTTGCTGGTTAAGTGTTTGATAGTTTATGACTGCGTGCTTATCTTAAAGGAGATGACATTTGTTCGGCCTCGTAAGAAGGTGTCCGGTTTGTTCCTAATGTAAGGAATAAAGTGTCCGTTTCACTTGTCCTAGTCAACATCCTATTGAAAACCTCAACCAGAGCTGTAGACAAGGAGTGAACAACGGATAGTGCTCCGTGGAATCCCAGCACTCTGGAGTTTCATGTAGTATTGTTCAAGTCACAGAATAAAAAAAAAAAAAAAAAAAAAAAAAAAAAGTACGAAAAGAAAAAATGGGCACACTAATGGAAAAGAAGCAAGAGCGAAATCTCATTTGTAGACGTCATCATTTTAAAGGTAAACAAACCTGTGAAGTGGAAGGATACAAAATCAACAGACCAAAATCAAGAATGGGTGGGCGAGTGGGTAAAGGTGCTTACTGCCCAAGCCTGACCACCTGCATTCAAGTTCTGCCGCGGGAGCCCATATGGTAAAAGGGTCAAACCAACAGCAGCAGGTTGTTTTCTGACCTTCATACACCCCCAATCCCAATAGACCATGGGTCATGTCCTCTCACACACAAAAATGTAAAAAAGAAAAGAAAGGAAAAGCACACACTGTCATCCCAGCGTTCCTGTAGTTAAACAAGAGGATTTCCATGAGCTCAAAGTCAGCCTAAGCTACAGAGTGAACTCAGGCCAGAATGGACTACTGAAACACATAGTGAGACTGATCTTGTCTCAAAAATAAATGAATGAAACTTTAAACGTCAACAGCTTTTTTTTTTTTTTTTTGTTTTTTCGAGACAGGGTTTCTCTGTGGTTTTGGAGCCTGTCCTGGAACTAGCTCTTGTAGACCAAGCTGGTCTCGAACTCACAGAGATCCGCCTGCCTCTGCCTCCCGAGTGCTGGGATTAAAGGCGTGCGCCACACAGCTTTTTTGATAACAAATAATGGACTTGCTGAGAATGAAATCGAGAAACCCACCCCATCCACAATAGCAAAAACAAATACATGAAAAAACACAACCTGGTATTAGTTGCCTACTTGTGCTGGCTAGTTGTATGTCAGGAGGACAGTTATCCGACAGGTGGAATCCTCAACTGAGAAGTTGCCTCCATGAGTCAGCTGTAGGGTATTTTCTTAATTAGTGATGGATCAGGAGAGGGCCCAGCTCATGATGAATGGTGCCATCCCTGGGCTGGTGGTCCTGTGTTCTTTAAGAAAGCTGACTGAGCAAGTGATGAAGAGCAAGCCAGTAACTGGCACTCCTCCATGGCTTCTGCATCAGCTCCTGCCTCCAGGTTCCTGCCTGTTTGAGTTCCTGATGTGACTTCCTTCAATAATGAAGTGTAGAATTGTAAGCAAAGTAAACCCTTTCCTCCCCAACTTGCTTTGGGTCATGGTGTTACCCTCAAAGCAAAAGGAACCCCATACCAGAAATGGATTATTGCTGTTACAGACCTGACCATGTTATTTCAGGAAAAGAGTTCATGTTCAAGTTCTGACCATGGAAGAACTTTGGAACTTGGGGGGGGGGGGAGAGCCACTCAATGTTTAACGCTTTGGTAAGCTATTCTATAGGAGCTTGGAAGATAACAATGTCGAGGGCAATGCTGAAGGTGGAGGAGGCCTGGCTTGTGAAGTTTCAGAAAAGGTTTAATGACTGTCAGGGGCCATGGTTCTAATTAGTTGAGGCTGAAGAATCAGCAGTGATTAACAAGATACCAGAACTGTTAAAACTGAAATCTTTGCATCTGGGATACTAGATCCTGGTTGACTGGAGCTGAGAAATTAGCAGTGATTAAGGGACCCGCAGGGGGGGCTGGAGAGACGGCTCAGTGATTAAGAGCACTGACTGCTCTTCCAGAGGACTCAGGTTCAATTCCCAGCACCCGCGTGACAACTAACAACTGTAACTCCAAATCTAACACTCACACAGACATGCTGGAATAATTCCTTTCTGCACTATAAAGGTTTGTCACTCAAATTGGCTTAATAAAATGCTGATTGGCAAGTAGCCAATGAGGAAGTATAGGCAAGGCTATCAAACTAAGGATGGTGGGATGATGGCCGGAGAAGAGTGGAGGCAGAAAGTTGCCGACAAACGCAGAGAAGAAGCAAGATGAGAATGCCGTACTGAGAAATGCTACCAAGCCATGTGACAAAGCATAAATAAGGTAATTTAAGTGTAAGAGTTAGCTGGTAATAAGCCTGAGCTATCAGCCGAGCATTTATAAGTAATAGTAAGCCTCAGTGTGTTTATTTGAGAGTGGCTACGGGACAGGAAACATCCACTTACACAGACATACAGGCAGCTAAAACACCAATGCACATAAAATAAAAATAAATTAAAAAGGAAAAAAAAAAAAGACCAGCATCATTAAGGGGAAGTCTTCAGCGAAGTATTTTTGAGAGTCAGCACACAGAAGCTGTGTTCCAGAGGTGGCCAAGGTTGTACCTCAAAACCTGGCAGCTGGACTTCAGAGTGCAAGAGTCACCCAGGTGGTACTAGTTTTGAAGATATGAAGGAGTACTGGAGAGCAGCTGAGGCTAGGCACTGGGAGAGGCCAAGAGAGGGCATCAGTGAAGACACAGCCTCTGTGGCAGTTGAAGACCCAGAAGTGAGTGGTCATGAAGAGAAGTTGAGGCCTGACACCATAAAGAGAGCCTTTGAGAGAGTATTGGCGAAAGTACAGCCTAGATACAGCAGAAGGCCCCAGCATTTTGAAGATGCCAGGACCATGGGATGGTCACCAAGAACGCAGCAGCAGAAGAACAAGCTGTGTCTGCTACAGAGGGCGGAGCCAGAGAACTGATCAAGCCCTTTGAAGGGGACCAGAAGATCGTGAATGAACCCGACATTGGACATTGAGTCATTTGTACTGATTGGAGTTAGGTTTTGCTTTGTTTAGATTGTGGCTGCGTTTTGGTTTTTCCTTCTTGAAAGGTGTATTTAACTTATTTTATAGGCGCCCACAGTTGTGAGACTAAATTTTTAAAAGAGATTTCAGGTTTTAAAAGAGACTTTGGATTTTTAATGAGTTTGAATTTTAAAGTGTTTGAATTTGTAAAGACTGGGAATTTTTTTATTAAAGTTTTATTTATTTATTATGTATACAGTATTCTGCCTGCATGTATCCCTGCAGGCCAGAAGAGGGCAACAAATCTCACTGCAGATGGTTGTGAGCCACCATGTGGTTGCTGGGAATTGAACTCAGGACCTATGGAAGAGCAGGCAGAGCTCTTAACCACTGAGCCATCTCTCCAGCCCCAAGACTGGGAATTTTTAAGTTTGTAAGCTATTTTATGTTGTGGTGTTATTAATATGTGATCTTGAAGGTGAGCAAGAAAGGAAAGGTTAAGCCTAACAATGTTTCTGTGTCAAGTTGACAAGGAGTCAAGACACTACTGCTGTAATGTTGTTTTATCTAAGATGTTCTATTTACCAATAATGAGTCAGGAATTGGGTATTGGGGGGGGGGGACCTGCTAGATCACAGATGCTGAGAAGCAACCAGATGGCCCTCCTTTTTGGCCAGAGACCAAGCAAAAGAGTGTCTCTCCTCCCATCCCAAACCAAAAAGGCCCCAAATCTCTAAATCCTCCCTACTCCCTCCTGTTTGTCTCTCTATCCGTCTTCCTAGTTCTCCATACTCTCTTCAGCTAATTCTTGTCAACTAGTCAAGGTTAATTTTATTAATACAGTCTCAGAGTTTCACAGTGTGAATCAAATACCCTGTGACACTAATAAAATTCTCTGACCCAACAATTGACAGGAGGCAGATGTAGGAAAATCTCTACGAATTCAAGACTAACCTGGTCTCTGTAGGGGGTTCCAATCCAGCCAGAGCTACATAGTGAAACCCTGGTGTTTCTTTGTTTGTTTAAAAACAATGTAAGTGAGAGTTTATTTGGTTCATAATTCTCAGTTACACCTTATCAATGTGGGTTGAAGGTGGCAGGAACATAAAACAGCTCATCACATTCCATTCAGTCAAGAAACAGCAAAGGCTTTTATACAGTTCCGAACCCTCTGTTTAGGGGATGGCACCACCCGCAGTGTGCTGATTATCCCCACTTCACCGTAATCAAGGTCGTCCCACACAACAAAACAAAGCAAAACAAAAACAAACAAAAAAGCCAATTGAAACTATATCACAGAAATTTGTGCACATCAAAGAAATCACTAAGGTCTAGAGAGACGGCTCAACCGTTGGAGTCCTGGCTGCTCTTCAGAGGACCTGGGTTCAGTTCCCAGCAACCCAATGGCCGCTCAGAATCATCTATAACTCCTGTTTCAGGCATCTAAGTCCTTAGAATTCATAGGGTTACTATTACCTTGATGAAACACCACGGCTAAAAGCAACTTGGAAAGAATAGTGCTTATTTGCTTATACTTTCAAACCAGGGCCCATCAAAGAAGGAATTCAGGGCAGGAACTCAAGCAGGGGAGGAACCTGGAGGCAGGAGCTGTTAC